CCCCCCCCCTCCTCCGCTCTCCTCCTCATTCACTCTCCGTCTCCTCCTCTCCCATCCCCCCACCTTCTCATCATTCCCTCTCTGCTCTCCTCCTCCTCCCCCCTCTCACCTCCCCTCCTCTCTCTCTCTCGCCCTTCAGGGGGCCCCCTCCTCACCGCGGAGACTTGCGAGGCTTTCCAAGAAGCCAGGGGGGGGGAATTGGAGGGGCTAGCAACGCAGCTAGCAAGGCTTTCCGTAATTAGCCACTTGTGCGCAAGACGGTTTCACCATCGACTGGCGTTGTTAGTGTTTCTCTGCCAGCCGACCGCGCTTCGGGATGAAACGGAGCCTATGGGAACAAGTCCACTGGTTTGATGATGAGGCACCACCTGATCGTGACCCAACAAATTATCATAAGGTGAAGACTTGCCAAGGTTGTGGAGATATTGTGCGCGTTGGTAAGATTGCAACGCATGGCATTCCACGTAGCGACAAGAAGCTAAAGGTTTCCGACGAAGAATTACAACACTTGCTAAGCAAGTGTGTTCGAGCGCCGACATATCTTTATGCGACGCCGTTCTTCTCATCAAGTCGTGTTTGTGCGGATTTGACCAAACATTATGGCAGCGCAGAGAAGCTACGTGCCATGACGTTCACCGACGCCGGTCGGCTGAGGTTGTGTTCGGATATCATTAGTGTGCGTAGAACCGTTGGCTTGTCGATTCGCATGTCAAAATCCCGCGAAACCGACAGATTCACACTGGTACAGCGCAGTGCGTTGAAGGCTCACGACGCCGTCACAGCAAAAGCATCACCTCTGGAAGATTTACGCGTTCTCTATATGAACGTCTATTTGTCGAGGACTGCCCTTTCTGAGCAATCAAGACACGCTCTGGCCACGAACGCCTTCCCATTCTTCCAAAACGACACCTTCTCTTTAGGCATGGATGCTTTTCTGGACAAGATTACTGACGTTTTACTGGATCTCCTCAAAGCCACGTCCTTTGCCCCGTATGGGCGGGCCCTGATGCCTTATGCAAACTGGGTGGAAAACCACGCTCTGTACCTCAAGGTTGGCCATAATCTGTGCGCACTAGAGGATGCATTGGTTTTTGCAGCTACTCTTGCCGATTGCTCATGGTACGATCTGACGTCGCCAGCGAAAATGGAAGCCCTCATTGCTGGGGCGCCACACTTTGGCACTTTCAGATCGAAAGAAATTTGGATTGATGCTGCTGAAATCATTCTGCAGAGCCCGGACCGGTATCATCTCTCACCGGCTGACACTTCAAGGGTTTCGGAGGAGCTGCTATTGGTGGGCGAACCTGGACCTGGCCCCCGCCGCGTCATCCGATTCGTCGCTGGCGATCCCGTGTCCAAAGATCCCTTTAGCATCGCAGAAGTTCAGAAGTACAAGGACGTCACTGAGAGCATTTTGAAACACTTTCAGATGCGTTTCAAGATCGATGGGGCCATCCAGGCTTGGTTTCAGGTTTGCGAGGCTTCTAAAGGGGTGACCGATTTATTTTGTGGAACAGGCGTGCCTTACGAGCCGTTCAAGGGCTACGCGCCCCCTTCACAGAAAGATGTATTGGACGCAGAACTCCACGATTCGTCTACTGTTCGCAAGAGAATGGCCACGCTAGCCAATCGTATCTTTAGTAAATACCCGGCACTGGAGAGCAAGCTCCGGGGCAAATTGCCGCAGTAGTGTTCCCACGGCAGCATTCACATGAGAACTGACGTTTGTCCGTCGCTTCACGGGGGGCCGCCTTTGGGAGAAGGACATCAAAACCGATGCGCGTC